GAAATCACTGCATCTCTGCCCACAGACTGGTTTCCTCATTTGGTTTCAGCCCAGGAGAGGGCTGTGGCATTCCAGTTTTGCTGATAACACCCTCATTTAGACTTGTGTTCTGCTAGAAATTCTAAGGATGGAAATGAAAATTCTTAATTTTGGGAAAAAATATGACAGTTCCACTGGGGTGCTGGAGAGTAGGATGCATTTGTTAAGTTCCCCCAAGCTCCTGAGCAGGCTTGACAGATTATCCAGGGTACAGACAAGGGCTCCTCGTGGGGGAGGAGGGGAACAGGCCAAGGTGGGGAGCCACATGTGAGAGGCTGTTACTGTGAAGGTCTAGCTTTTGTTTTGGGTGAAGTTTCTGGGTGCTCATTCCATTACTAAAAATACCTAATTTCAGGGCTGGAGTGAGAGCTTGGTCGGTAAGATGCTTGCTTTGCGAGCACGATCTCAAACAAACAAACAAACAAACAAACAAACAAACAAACAAACAAACGGAGAACCTCCCAGGTGTGGTGGCACACACCTGCAATCCCAGTGCTGGGGGGAGGAGACTGGTGGATACCTGCCCCCTCCCCCACCACTCCCCCTCCCCCACTTCCCTCCCCCCACAGCTAGCCTAGTCTACTCAGTGAGATCCAGGCAAATGAGAGGCCCCATTTTGAAAATCAAGGTGGATGCTACTGAGGAACGAGAGCTGAAGCTGTCCTTTGCTCTCCACATTCACACGTGTGCACATAGCCCCCCCCCCCCAGACACACGGCACACCCCACACAGGTGCTAACACCTGTTACACAGGCTCAGGAAGAGCAGGTCAGGCATGGACATGGTGGAAGTGATGCAGTACCCAGGATACTGCGGAAGCCGCTTCCACACACCAGAGGCCCACCGGGAAACAAAGCCCACGTCAGGACCGTCAGGACCGAGGCTGCTGGAGAGGATGGCTTGAGGGCCACTACATCTCTTGGCGTGAGTGCTTTTTCTGACTACTTTTGACTTCTTCCTAACCCATGTTTCCAGCACTAGTTCTCTCCTCAAGTCGGTAGAAAGTCCCCAAACATAGGCTGCCTTTGTTCACATGCTCTCACTTGTGAACTGTGACGCGGCGGCTGGGTTACGCTTTCTCTTGAGGACACTCATTAGGTCTGGGCGGGTTCTGGGGTAAGGGAGGGTCCCACGGCGGCGCTTTGCCGCAGCTGCTGCCGGGTGGACGGCAAGCCTGTGCAGCTGGGCTGGTGTATCTATCCCACTGGGCATTCAGAAGTGGGAAGCAAGACCCTGCCAACGAGGCCACCGCTTCCATGGGCTGTGACTTTCCCACTCAGAACTCCCTGTTTTGAGTATGTGGTGACCTTAATTTCAGTTTGTCAACTTATTTAAATACTAGCTGGGACACACACACAGACAGACACAGACAGATACAGACATACACAGACACCCTGGCCAGCGTAGAACTGGAGTGGAGGGCTGAAGATCCCTTGGCTCCACACCAGGAAGGGAAGAGGAGAGAAGAGAAGAGATGGACAGATGGGAAGGAGGGAGAGGAGGAGGGAGGGAGAAGGAAGGGAGAGACTGAGGGAGGAAGGGGGAACAGAAGGACTCCCTCCCTCCCTGGTATTTCTGCTGCTTCATACCAAAAGCAAGAACCACACCCAGGCGCAGATTTCTGCTGTTCTCTGGGAGGGTCTTGAATGGTCCTTGTAAGGCAGCTGGCTTTAGATGCTCTTCCCTGCTGAGAGTTGGGGTGGGGTGAGGGGAAGGTCTGGAAGGAGGCACCAGTGGCTGGGACAACAGGGTCTCCATCCCCACCGGCACAGAATGGCTTTCATTCCTGACTTTAATACCCAACCCACTTCCTAGGCCCCCCGCCGCTGACATTTCTTTTCAGCAACAACGGAAACAGGAAAATTCACTCCAAAGACAAGGGGAGGGCAGGTGGGTGCTTGTACAAGACACCACCACCTACACACTCTAGTTATGTCCCTGTGGGTTCTGTGCTGGGTAACGTGACTCTTCGAAAGAAAATGTTGTTGATATATAGTATTTTTTATAGCTGATATATAATATTTACATGTATTCATGGAACACAGTGTGATGTTCAGTCCATGTGAGCACACGTGACATCATACCCAGCTAATTAGCACGCCCATCATCTTAATTACCCGTCATGTCTCTGTCCTGGGGTCCTCACAACTCTCTCTCCCAGCTCTCTGACACACACAGTGTCATTTTGAGCGCAGCCCCCTGCCTCTGCATCACCTGAGTCCTGCCATACAAGCCCAGTCTCCTCCGCAGTTGTCCAGGGACAGACACTTCCTGGTGTGCTTCTAGATTAGAGACGTACCTGGGGCCAGGCAGCTGAGGCCTGCGTTCAAATCTTGCCTTTGCCACTAATTGCCTATGAGGCTGTAAACAAGTCCCTTCTACTCTTGGAACCTCAGGATCCTCAACTGCAAAATGAGGTGTGATCTCACATATCAAAGCGACAAGAATAAACCACAATAAATGCCTGTGTGAAGTCTAAATGTCCCGCAAGACCTATAGTTACTGCTCTACACCCTTCGGGCACAGAGGGATGCACAAGTCCCGGGGAGCCCAATCCAAGCTTCAGCTACCGTAAATAGAAGAATATTTCTTGTTTTCTTGGCTTGGTCAGCAGAGTAGAGAGACCCTGGCAGACCCCAGAAACCCTTTGCAGAGCTGATACTGTGGACAGCCCCCCCCCCCACCCCGCCCTGCCCCCTGTGGATTCTGCTTACAGGGAGTGATTTTAGGAGCAAACAAAACATGCAAAGCTATTCGGGATGAACAATGGGCCAGATGGCCATGCTGGTTGGAAGCAATAGAACATGATAAATAGCTTCCTGCTGAGACTCCTGATCAATTTCAATATTTAATAATTCCATTGCCACCCCCACCCGCTCATCAGCCCCCTCCACAGGATCCTGCGATGACACCCGGCTTTCAGCTCGCCGACCAAGCACTTCTTCCCTTTCTGAGGACGTCAGCAAAAAGTGTCACAGCTCAACTGTCACACGGGCGTGCTTGGCCCTCGAAATGATAATTAACCTGCCTCCATGTCCCCCTGCAGGTGTGCCCTCCTCCTCTCATGCTGGGGAGGCTGGAAGGCCCTGCCAGCTGAAGATGTACGCTCGCTCGCTCGCTCTCTCGCTCACCTCGTTGATTCAATGACTGCTAGCATTCCCTGACTTTGGCTTTTGAATTAAGCCAGGCAGCAAGCAGTCTGGCCATCTTACCACTACGCCAACAATGGGTAGGAGGAAGTGACCCAGACAGGAAGCCCAGGTGGGCTTATGGTTGCATATTATTTTATCACTCATGCCTCTGAGACTCAATTTCCTCCTCTGTACAATGGACACAGTCGGACCTGTCTCCGGAGTTGTAGCTGGTGCCACCCATGTAAAGCGTGTGGCAGTGCTCAGCACAGAGACGAGAGCCAACAAGTGGTGTGAGGTGGCGTCACTATCAACCGTGAAGCTAACCCCAAATGATTTCTGAGTGCCAGCGCTTTGCAGGCTGGGTTGGCTGTGTCCTCCTGGTTGGCATTTCTAGCCCACACTGGGGCAGATTTGCCCCAGCTGTCAATGGTGGTCACACAGCCTCTCCTGAGAGTCTCCCCCAGCCGTAAGACAGGAAGGAACCCACTGATAAGGTTATGAATGGTTATGAATGGTTGGCAGTGACCCCAAAGGTGTTAGTAGCCACTGATGTGTGAGCCTTCAGGGCCATTCAGAGAACACATACAGATACAGATGAGGAACTCCAGAGCAGGAGTTACACCCCAGCAGAGACATGGCTTTGGGGCTGATGTTGGCAAGAGACGGCATAGCCACTTCTCATCCAGATCTTGTAGCTTCTGACTTCACACCCCCTCCACCACTCACAGGAGGAGCAAGACGCCCTGGCAGGTGTGGCCTCTGTGTATTTGAGGTGGGGTGCGGGGGGCAGGGGAGGATGGTGCCGTGTGTACCCGGATCACGGTCACAGCACAACTTCAGTCACCAGAGTTACAGTTTACTGTTTGTGAACTGAGGCTCCTGACACCTTCTGTGCTGGCTCACGGAGCACTTAGCGAGAGAATCTTTGCAGTTTTGTGATGAACTGCACAAATGTCAGTTATGGTTATTAGACTACTCAGAGGACAGAGATGGGAACCTTGCCCACTCAGAGGTAGATTCTCCTAGCAGGAGAATCAAAAAGAAAACAAAGATCAGGGCTGGAGAGATGGCTCAGAGGTTAAGAGCACCGACTGCTCTTCCAGAGATCCTGAGTTCAATTCCCAGCAACCACATGGTGGCTCACAACCATCTGTAATGAGATCTGGCGCCCTCTTCTGTATACATAATAAATAAATAAATCTTAAAAAAAAAAAAGAAAGAAAACAAAGATCAAAGCACGGCCACCACAGCTGCAGTCTTCGGTGCGGTGTTTAAGGTTTACCACAGCCCCATCTCCTTGCCCATTTTCTCCTCCACTGGAGCTGGTTGCGGTAGCCTAGGCTCCAATGGCCTTTTACGTGTTGGTGCGTAGACAGGCCTGCATTCCTGCTCAGACCCACCCTCACCTTTGTCACTGGTTTAGCCAGTGGCCCCTTGGGAGGAGGAGCATCTCCATCCCAGTCCACCCCAGCTCCCACTGTGTTAGTGCCACCTTTCACGGGTCTCAACCCCACAGAGTTCCTTCCAGGCAAGAGCCAAGCTCTCCAGTCTACCCAAGGCCTAGCCACTGTGTGCTCAGCAAGTGTATGCAGGATCACACGAACGAATGGACAGCGGTCCACCTCCAGCAGTGGTGGAGTCAAAGCCCTAAGCTATCGGTGGGCCGGGATCTGGGGAGGGGTTGCACAACCATGGTTGAAGACAGGGCTAATTCCACTCAATCCATCTTCCTTCTCACCTCCATAACGTGAAAGGACAGAAGATACGCAGACCCTCCCCACACCTGTCAGGCGAGGGCCCATGGGATGTGAGGCAGCCATCAGGTACCTGAGTCCCGCTGGTCCAGGGTCACAGAGTTCCACCTCCTTGTGATGTCGATGTAGAGGATGTCCACTGCAGCCATGGACAGGCTGCTGCTGCTCAGCTTGCAGTTCCTGCCGCAACAGGAAAGAAAACGTGTCACTCGACGGTGAAAACGTCTGGCCCTCTCCCTCAAGCCTGTGGAGAGCGAACATTTGTGCCCCCACGAAACCCACAGGTGGGGTCTTTGGAGCTTAAGAGGCCGTGATGGTGGGGCCCTAGCAGATCAGTTAGTGTCCTTGTATGAAGACACTCAGGAGAGGAGAGCTCGCCTGCCTCCCTGCTCCTCGCCACAGAGAAAGCAGATGCAAGGCGCCAGGAGCGGGCCCTGGCAGGCAGGCGCCTTGCTGCCGGGCTTCAGCAGCGGCCTCCCGGCCTCCGGACCGAGAGGTCAGCTTCTGCTGTTTAAAGCACCGGAGCCGCTCAGATGGAGAATGTGTCTTTGCTCAGGCCATGTTTTCTCCCCAGAATTCTTGGAGGCCAGCCGAGGAACGCCAGGGAGAAGGTTGCAAGTGAGAACCGGGGATTGGAGACTATGGCTTTCGTTAGGAGCGAATGAGTGGCCTGTTGAGAGCAAGACTGTGGAGACAGCCAAGCTTGAGCCAAATCCTGGCTCTGCCACTGAGCACCTGGGCAAGCCACTCCCCTTTCTGGCCTCCCTGCTTCAGTGGTTTCCTCTGTCAGCTGCACCTCATGCAGCCCTCAAGACCCCGCCCACTCCCAAAGGGGGCAGCACTCTTTCTCTGCACTATTATTATTATTATTACTATTATTGCAGTAGGGACTCACATAGCCCAGGCTGGCCCTCAAACTCGCTGTGTGGCTGAGGATGATCCTCCTGTCTCCACCTCCCGAGTGCTAGGGTTACAGGTATGCACCACTACACCTGTTTTTTCGGGTGGTACTGGGGTGGAACCCAGAGCCTCATCCCTGCTAGGCAAGCATTCTCCAGCTGAGCTACAACCCAGCCCGAGGAACTCCGTAGTCAAGAAACACTCCTCTATGTGTGTTCATCTTCTCACGACTGTCTCAGGATGTGAGTACTGCCCTCTCCCGCCAGTGCAGGCAGCCGTCGGTGCCACGGTCACGTGTCCTGGCAATGACCGCTCACCACTGAAGTGGCTCAAGTCACCACTGGCCTGGGAGCCGTTCCTCCCGGATCTCACCAGATGAGCCCCTGAGGCCAAACGAGGACACGGGGTGCGCTGTGCCCCACTTCACTAATGACTCCGTCACCCTGACGGCTTTGTACAGGCCCAGACACGCAGAGCACACAGGCTGGGCCCACGCCACAGGAGCGCCCTTCCATCCTGGGCTGCATGCTTATTCCTGGTCACCTGGAGCCAGGGGAGGCTGGAATCTTCTGGTGCTCCTCCTGCTCACGTGCGGAGAAGCCAAAAGAACGAGATTTAAATCTGATGTCGGCAGCAATCCTGTCTAAGCCACGGAGGTGGGTGAACAGCATTTAGATGCTTGATTGTGGGTAGTTTTCTTAAGCCTCTCTCCACGTCTTCGTTTCCTGATCTCTAGGATGAAGACAGCACGTGCCCACATGGCTGCTGAGACAGCGAGTGTCCGTGGGGGACCTGTGTGATGCCTGGGAGACTCGTGGCATGCCCAGTCCTCATCTCCTCTCACTCCCCATTTTCCTCTCAGGCCACCAGACCAAACTTTCACTGATCTTTTGAGGTATTGAAACCTAGGTCAAGAGAGCCTAGGGCAGCCATTGGCTTGTCCGATTCTCCCTCCCAACTCTGGACGTGATCATTCTGGGAGGTGGGTTTTGCCTAGGAATCCTGAAGGCTGGACTCTGGGCCAGCTGTCAAGGTGTCAGAGCTATAGCCAACACTTTTTAATGCATCACACCTGTGACCCCAGCTGGTGATAAAGTGCTTGTCTGACTGCCCATTTGTCATTGTCCCTGTGTGAACAGTTCCCATAGGCACCAGACAGGTGAAGCTTTGATTGGCAAGCTTGATTGGCACCCAGAGGCCCCTGTCCAAATTCAGGTCCACTCCTTAACCGTGGTGGCTATGAGCATGCCCAACATGGTGCCTCGATGAGGCCATTGCCCCTCCTTCCTCTTCTTTCTTCCCACCCGTCTGCATTTTCCAGACCGACAATTCACATCCTGTTTCATATTTCAATCACAAGGCTCCATGGCAGACTTCAAAGCATGTCAGTGCACAGTTATTGAGTCTCAGTAAAACATGTCAGGGGATGCCAAGCTTTTCACGTCACCCGTCACAGAGGTGGCTATCTCTACTGGGTTCTGCTAGGGACATTACTCCAGTCTCTTGAGCCATGCTGTCAGCGTACGCTGCACATTTCCAAAGCTTCATTGAGAAAAGCCCAATCACCTTTCGCCAATGGTCAGTGTTCTTAGGACTACCTGCTCCCTGGTAGGACGGAGTGCTGCCTGGCCTGCTCTATGGGCTAATGAAGGATAAAAACAGACACTGAACTGACCCCTGGTACATAGTTATTTCTTTTTCCTGACAGGAAGAAAATAGAAATGTCAAACCTTTAGCAGAAGCCGTAATTTACCAGGGAGAATTCTCCATTTATCCCCTTTCCAAGGTAACTCATCCTCCCCAGCAATACTGCCAATACAGTTGATTACGATGTCCGCAGTCAACAGAGGACCGTGCATGTCGGCTGCAGCAGACGGGAAATGCTTAAAGGGATTTGGATTCTGTAGGTATTTCTTGGGCACCATATCCATCTGCAAGGTCCTTTCCTTCCCGAGGTCTCAGAATCTGTGTAAGCATATGTGAGGGAAGGGTCTTCAGTCCCATTTCAGTGGGGTATGGAGGGTCAGGATTTCCCCAAGGTCACACAGATCTGTATCCCATCTCCCCTTGGAGACAGAGGAGGAGGTTTGGGAGCTGTGGGGAGGTGGCCCAGTGCAGGGTCCCAGGAGGAGCCTAGGATCAAGATACAAGGTCTCTGTCTAATGACCAGAGGGCTGGACACCTGCTGGGAAGTTTGGGGATGGAAGGCTTCTGGGACATAACCAGGGTCTCGGGGTTTGTCCTTTGGCTACCAGACATTCTCAGTGAGCTCAAATAGAGGCTAACATCAAGTCTTTGGAATAAGGCTTTTCATCCATCTAGCCACTGAATACAGAACTCATCTTCTGCCACGGAGCTCAGCAGTATTCAGGGCCCAGGGTGACACAGCTCTCAGAGGGTCCCGTGCAGGAGATGGAGTGTGATGGCCAGGTAGTTCTGACCATGGAGCACAATCTCCTCCCCTTATGCCCTGGGATAAGTTCATCCAATGAACGGGTGGGAGGGTCAATTCTTTAGTGGAAAAGCACTCTGAGAAATAGGGTGAGAGAAGCTAGAAATTTTCTAGAACAGGAATGAAGAATTGGGACCTTGGCTTTGTTGCCTGTTCTTTTTGTTTGTTTATTTGTTTTGTTTTTTTTGTTTTTTTGTTTTTTTTTTTTTGAGACAGGGTTTGTCTGTGTAGTTTTGGTGCCTGTCCTGTATCTCACTCTGTAGACCAGGCTGTCCTCGAACTCACAGAGATCCCCCTGGCTCTGCCTCTGAGTGCTGGGATTAAAGGCGTGTGCCAGCACCACCCGGCAATTGCCTGTTCTTGAGCATGCCACAGAAGTTCTCATTTGTCTGAGGGGGGTCGAGGCCACCCACCAGACAAGGCTTAGATATTGATGCTCCGTGCCTGGCACATGTGGAGAAAGAAGAAGCCAATGACAAGCAAAGCCTTGCCCACTGGTGAAGAAACAGCTGAAAGTGATGATTTTTGTGCATTTCTTGTTGCTTTTCTTTTTTTTTTTTCAGAATGGAAGGAAATCTGAGTACATATGATGGGAGAGAATCACAAATCATTCAAGTTCATTAGGAGCCTGAGCGTGTAGGAAGCTTTGAAATGATCATCCCATTTCCTCTAACTGCCTACGTCTCATGGGAAATTTAGGGACCAACTTTTTACACTCCACAAAATCCTATTTATAGAATTTCTTTTATGTTCATCCCTCTTTGTGGCGGAAAAAAAAAAGCAGTTTTTCATTTCCCCCAAGAGGTTTCTCTAAGGTAAAAGGCAAAGACCCATATTTATTTTAAGGGGGGGCGGCAAATAACTAAGTATTTCAGGGAGGGGGAAGGAAAGAGGTGGCTACAGTTAAAACATCCATGGTCTTCAAGAGTTAGAAGAAGAATCTCACAAGATTTCTGGGAAGGAATGGTCACAGAAGGGGCAGTTTCAAAGTCACTAAGGAGTTAATGATAAAGGGGAAAGCTGGCTACTTATACTTCTATTCTAGAACATTCTAACATGTCATGTCTCTCAGAGAAAAACCCCTACAGCTACCCATTATGGAGCATATTAATATCTCCGTACAATAAAAGGGAAGGGAGAGGGAAAAGGACAAAGAGAAAAATGTGTCCTTTAATTCAGAAGGAGACCTGGGATCAGAAGCAGGGATAGTGGCGGAGCAGGGACTTCAAAGTGCGGTCTCAGAGTTCGGAGATGCAGTTTCCCAACTGTGGAAGAAGTGTCCTCCATGAATTACATCTGATGGCTCCCCACCCCCAACTAGTGACCCGAACTAGTTGGAGCCGAACACAAATACATTTCTCTTCAAGGAAGGCTGTCAAGCTGCAGAATCAATTAGACAGCTTTTATTTTCCTGAGAAAGAGAAGCTTCCTCACCCTGGCAATTATTATAAAATAAAATTTCCAAAAAAATAAAAAAATAAGAAGAGGAGCTCAATTCACAGTGATGATACGTGCTACTATTACTCGGCTCCTGAGGAAATGACACTGGAGGCTGGTTAGAGTGTCTAGACAAGAGAGTGACAGTTCGTTATTTCTCATTCTCAGGGAAAGAGAAGAGTGGAAGATGGCTGGGCGGCCATTAGCATAATTCCCCCTGAAAACTGCTGATCTGTGCTGCAAGTTCTGAGAGATGGACACCGAAAATAAATCCAAACGGACTGTTTATTATTTTCTTCCCTTCTCATTCTCTTCAAGGAATGTGGAGAGAAACAGAGAGGGTAGCAGCTATGAAAGCCAAGTTCCACTTCGGGCATCTGTGTGGGAACCC